ATAGCTTTACTTCCAGCTCCCTCCTCTACCTTTTGGATGACAACGTTGTCGGCTAGGTTGGTTAGGAATCTGTTTGTCTCCCAGCTGATATCTGGTAGTTGAAGTCTCCCGTTACTACTGTGATATGCTTCCTACTTATATTTGTTAATTGGTTGGCAAAGAGTCCATCTATTTCTTCTGATTGGTTGGGTGGCCTGTAGTATATCCCTATGGCAATGTCACTTTTTTCCCTTTTATATTGACCCATATAGATTCTGGAGGGCTTTTATCTTTGATCGTGTGCATTTCTGTAGATACATAGTATTCTCTTACATATAGTGCAACTCCCCCTCATCTTTTTGTAGTTCTGTTTCTTTTGAACAATTTGTATCCATCCATCAGTCCATTCCAATCATGGGTTTCGTCCCACCAGGTTTCTGTAATGCCAAATATGTCATACCCACCCTCCTGTATTATTGCTTCTAGTTCACCCTGTTTGTTCCCCAAGCTTTGATCATTAGTATATAAACATTTAAGACTTTTATGTCTGTCCGTGGGTATGTTTCCTGGATCTCCTGATTGTTGTTTGATTTTTTTTCTTTTTCCTCATCACTCCCCACCTCTTTGTTTGATTTGTTTTCTTGGAATTTATGATTGGTTTTATGTTCTAGAGATTCTAATGATTGGTCTCCCTTCCCCCTCAATTTTAGTTTAAAGCCCTCCTAACTTTAATTCTTGAGAACTGTAGTTGTTTGTGAGGTATTGAGATTTCTCTATAAGAAATATCTATTTTCCCTTAAAAAGTATGAGGGCAAAGAATTGTTGAATTGTGTTAGACTCTAACACATTAAAACTTACATATATTAAATAAGTTTGTTTTATATTACAATTATATTATTATATTATATTACGTTACGTTACGTTACGTTACGTTATGTTATATTATTACACTATATTGCAAAGGGATCCATTTTTAAAAAAAACTAGTTGTAATTCAAGAAGATATATAGCATATACTCACCAGATGATTTACAGAGAATGCTCAAGTTATGACCATAATTGAACCCCTCAATTACGGTTGTATGTTGTGACATTCATAAAGTGGGTCACCATGTGACTGGACCCATTTTACAATGGTCATTAAACACTGCAATAGTTAGGCAAGCCCATTGTTCATTATGGGACAAGTTTTGCCAGAATCCAGAAGTAAATGCCAGTTTTTGGCAACAATGCCCTAAATTGTACACATGATGACGAGGCACTGCAAACAGCCATAAATGCGGAGTGGTTACCCAAACAGGTAGTCACATGACTGTGGGGGGGGGAGCAGATGCCATATATTTGAAACCAGGTTATAAGTCCCTTTCCATCATAACCTCGAATAGTCACTAAGCACCTGGTCGTAGTCTAGAACTATCTGTACTGTTTATGGATAATGAAATGTGTATTTTAGTCCCAGAACATATGGAGAGTACCAAATTGGAGGAAGTGCATCTAATTAATATTTACATGGTAACCCATATGTACACCAAGGTCTACACAAAACCATGCGGGCTGCTGCATTTTGCACCAACTGGAGCTTCTGGATACTTTTCAAGGGCAGCCCCTTGTAGAGCACATTGCAATAGTCAAGATGGGAGGTGATTAGGACATGAGTGTCTGTGAGTAGGGATTGTTGGTCCAGGAAAAGGCATAACTGGTACACTACCTACAATTGCGCAAAGGCTCTTCTGCCCACAACTGTCACCTGCTCTTTGAGCAGGAATCAGATGCACTGGGTCTGTTTGGAGGAGTGCCACCCCATCTAAGACCATCCAAGGTGGCAATTCTCCATGGACCAAAGAATCCCAAACCCAGAGCCACTCGCTCTTGCCAGGATTCAATTTCAACCCATCGCTCCTCATCCAGTCCCTAACAGCTTCCAGGCATTGCGAGAGGGAGGTCACAGCATCGCTTAACTAACCAGGGGCTGAGATATACAGCTGACTATCATCAGCATATTGATGATATCTCAGTCCATGGTGATGGATGATATCACCCAATGGGTTCATATAGATGTTGAATAGGAGTGGAGAGAGTACTGAGCCCTGTGGGACCCCCTCAAAGCAGTGGGCGAGAACTGGATCTCTCATCTGAGAGCAGCCACAGAGGAAGGAAGTGTATAAGGATAGCACAAATTTCCCACTCCCATCCCCCGAAGCCGCTTCAGAAGAATACCAAGATACCATGGTCAATGGTATCGAAAGCCACTGAGAGGTCAAGTAGAGCAAGGATGAATGCACTACCAATCCCACCAGAGATCATCAAAAACCATGAGCAATGCCGTTTTTGTCTCATATCCAGTCCTGAATCCTGACTGGTAGGGGTCTACTCATCCAGAAACCTCGAGCTGCCTTGCAATCACCTTCTCAACAACCTTCCCCAAAAAGGAAAAATTGGAGTCAGGTTGGAAATTATCCAAAAGGGTGGAACCCAGCAATGGCTTCTTGAGAAGAGGGCGGACCACAGTCTTGTTAAAGTGCTGCAGTGCTACCCCCTCCTGTAAGGAAGCATTAATCACCGCCAGGATGGGAATGTTGCATTCAACTAAAAGCCTAGTTCCCATATTATTCTTAACTCAGTAAGCCACTAACTCAGTCATAGTTCCTAGCCTAACCAACATGCTGCTTTCAACATTGATCCAATTGCAAATCATGTTGGGTGGACCAAATCAGAATGTCAGTATTAAAGAAACATTTACAG